GGTGTGAGTATGAGTGGGTTGTGTGTGTTGTGTGGGAGAGTGCTGGCCTTGGACACTGCTGCTATTTGATTGGGGGGGGAGGGGGGGGGGGAGGACGGTGAAACGGGAAGTGCCGCTACCGGCAAAATGCTAGGTCTTTGCATTAGCCGAACCCCCCATTGGCGGCCCCACTCTACTCCCTGACTACCGCTGTGAGGGCAGGGGGCAACATGCAATCCCTTCATTGTGAGGTAGCTATGCTTGCAGGGATCCCCTGTACAGCCTTAGTAGTAGTAGTAAGTAGGTAGTGAAAGACGGAAAAAGAATTTGAGAGAAGAAGTCTGAAGAACATAGTGTAGTTAGAAAAGAAAAAAGAGAAAAAAAGAAATGGTGATGTAAAAAAAAAAAAGAAAAAAAAAAAGAGAAAAAAAAAAGAGGAACGATGGGGAATGGTGTCAATAGTCTAGGAGACGGTCATTGAGTGGGGCAGGCGAACGACTTCCTTTCACCAAATAGAAAGCAGGATTGTAATGGCAGCATTTGGGGGAGTTTTCAGGTCATATGCAGATATGATTTCCTGATCTCCGATGTTGGAGAAGATGGTAGAGGCCAGGCACACACAGGGCACAATACAGTGTCAAGAGCTTGTTGAGTGACTGAAATATGCACCCCTGGTTTGATCGCCCGAGTTCATTTTTTCTAGAGAGGAGGAGGAGGGGGGGAGGAGGAAGGGGGGAGAAGAATGGCAATGGCATATGAATGGATCATAGGAGGGAGAGGGGAAAAGATGCAGCCTGTCGCAAGCCCCAACTTGGGAAAAGGAAGTGATTGATGGGACCAAGGAAGCAGTCCGAAGACAGCCGGGTGAATGGACGTTACATGGACGGATGGATGTATAAATGGTTGGTTGGATGGATGGATGGAGCATTGGATTAATGGATGCATTCATCAAGTCAGAGAGTAGAGAGCTGGGTGCATGGAGGTGCTCATAGTTGCGTGGATGGATGTATGGATAGGTGAGCAGACGGAGGGAGAGAGGGAGGGAAGGAGGGAGAGAGGGAGGGAGAAGTAGAGCTGGGTGCATGGACGTGCTCATAGTTGCATGGATGGATGGATGGATAGGTGAG